CCTTGACTATCTTCAGAGTCTGGATCACCATCAGAGTCAGAGTCAAAATCATCTTCTCCTTCTGTATCTTCTTAAGAGTCAGAGTCTTTACCAGCTTCACAAACATGTATTTCTGACCTTTCTTCAAAAGTTCTGTCATCAGAGTCAGGACGAGACTTTTCTCAATTCCAAACTTCTGATTCCTCTACAATGACATCTCTATGAAACTCAACTTTGTTAGTTTATGGAGATCGTTCAGAACCACTACATTCATAAATACCATCTTCAAAAATTGGATCACTTTCAGAAACTCTGCCTTCAGAAGTTCCACTTTCAGAATCATGATCACCATTAAAGACTGAATTTCCTTTAGAAGCTCCTCCTTCAGAAGGTCCAACCTTAGAGTCATGATTTCCACCAGAAACTTGATCATCTTTAGAAGCTTTTCCTCCAGAACCTACATCTTTAGAGTTTTCCCTTCCATAAGCATGATCACCACCAAATTCTGGATTATCATCAAAATCTAGATCAAAATCAAATTCACCATCTGACTCACCTTCAGAGTTTCCAGAGTCATCATCTTCTGACTCTTCTTCAGAAGCAGAATCTTCTTCAGACTCAGAATCACCTTCGGATTCTGACTTGTCTTCAGCTTCAGAGTCATCTTCTAACTCTAACTCGTCTTCAAAAACCTCAGATTCTGACTCATCTTCAAAATCTTCAGCGTCATCTTCTAATTCTGACTCGGAGTCATATTCTGATTCTGACCCATACAAAATCACTCCTTCAAAATCTGAATATTCAGAGTCATATTCTTCTTCCCATTCAGAATCAAAAAATGACAATTTCACTGGTTCTTCATCAAATTCATAAGCCATAAATAGCACAGGTTCATCATATGAATCTCCCCTGGCTATATTTGCTTCTTATGACTTCCTTTCTTTGTTTGACCAACAATCTTTGGCATAGTGACCAAAGTTCCTGCAACAGTAACACTGGACATTCTTCTTGTCAGACTTCTCCTTTCCCTTTCGGACATTCTTTTGCCTATCAGAATTTGAAGCTTCTGACTTTTGACCACCATTAGTTTTCTTCTTGGCTTCTGACCAAGTCAGCTTCTGATGCTTCTTACCAGAAGTTACCTTCAGAGTCTGTCGCTCTACTTCCCTCTCAGAACTTCTTGCAGTCATACGCAACTCATGCGCCTCTAGACTATTTTGCAGCTCTTCAACTCTCATGGTGCTCAGATCTTTGGAATGTTCAATTGCTACAACAATGTAATCAAATTGAGAAGTTAAAGATCTCAATATCTTCTCAACGATTACTTGTTCAGAAAGAATTTCTCCACAAGCTTTCATCTCATTAGTGATCAGAATCACTCTAGAGATGTACTCAGAAACCTTCTCGTTGTCCTTCATATTGAGATTCTCATATTGCTTTCTGAGAGACTGAAGCTTCACCTTCTTCACTGATGCGTCACCACCGTAACATCTGACCAGTGTGTCCCACGCAACCTTTACTATTTCAGAATCAACAATCTTCTCAAACACATTCACATCCACACATTGATGGATGTAGAACAACGCTTTCTAATCTTTCTTCCTCAGCGCCTTCTGTGCTATCTTCTGGTCCTCTGTTGCATCTGCTTCTAACAGATTATAGTCATCAGTAACAAGTTCTAACATATCTTGAGAGCCAAATAACACGCGCATCTGGATCTTCCAACGATTCCAGTTTTTGCCATCAAATATTGGAAGCTTGGAATGAATATCGCCATTGTTTCCGTTCATCTTCTACCTTATGCAATTTACGCAGAATTTCCCAAATCAATGTTTTCTCAAAACTCCCAGAATTAGAATATTGTAATTCTTAATCACAATACTTCTTTTCCCGTGAATTTTGAACCGGAGCTCTAGATACCATTTGTTGGAGCACAAAGAAGATAAAAAGGAAAAGAAATATTTACTAATAGCTTCAAAAATAAAGATTTACAATGAATTACAATAACTTACTCCACTAAGCTATTTATACACAAAAATTAAATATAAAATATATCTTCTACAAAGATATAAGAAGATGTAAGATATATATCTTCTAACAAATCTATAAACAATCTAAAAAATATTCCTAAATATTAATTAATATCAAATTAAATCTAAATTAATTCTAACCATAGTTGAAGTCCGTTCAAGCATCCGGTAGTCAAACATAACATCCTTAAACATTAAACATGCTTCATTCTCTAATATTTCATGCACAAGAAAGTTACATATATGTGAATACAAGTATGGAAACTGTAGGACATTGACACATTCCGAACATATTCTAAAGAATTGATTATACTAGTATATACTACTGGTGTAAATATAGCTATTAATCAACCATAACTATCTGATATTTTTTAGTCACACATATAAATAATTTGATTTGTGTAGAATATGAACTTTTTATTCATTATTATGATAAGGTATCAAAACTAATTTCATATTCGAAAGAAATAAAAAATTAATCCCTTTAAAACATGGAAGCTATTGACTTGCCTTGCCTTGCCTATCCCATTTATCGGTTGGTTAACTCATAGCCACGTGTTACAGCCTAATCCATTTTCTCATGAAAATATAAGGCGAGAGTGCAAGACCGTTCTTCAAAATGTGACAAATCCAAAAGGCAATACTGAGGGAATAGAGATCTGCTCCAAGTTAACCAAAACTACTCGAGATTATTAATACTTCACCATTTCGACATTCAGGTTTTTTTTCTTCTTTTTTTTCTCTCTTTCGATTCTATATAAGATTTATTGATAATTTAATTTTGGATTAATAGGTCATTGCACTATGTTATATAGGTAAATTTTGAAAATTTTCCATAAATTTTTTTAACATTTCTATTAAAATTCAGTCACAAGAATACGTGACAAACTTTTTTAACTTATTATTATTGTTTTTAATGATATAGATGATTTTGTTATTATTATTATTTTATTATTATTATTATTATTATTATTATTATTATTATTATTATTATTATTATTATTATTATTATTATTATTATTATTATTATTATTTATTTATTTTTTAAATTTGATATGGTGTTTTTTATTATCATTTTAAATTTCAAGACACAATATTTACAAGAAGAAAGACACAATACTTACAAGAAGAACTCTCTACGTTGCATATAAATTCCTTGAATCAAATATATATTACAATATTTCATTTAATACTATTACACAATTAATTAAAAATTATTTATATAAATATTCTAAAACATATTTATTATATGTTAGTAAATGTTTTATTATGATTAATACTATTAATTTATTTTTTAAATATTTATTTCTTATTTAATAAATTATTTATTTTATTTTAAATATAAATTGTTTAAATAATATTATTAAATTGTTTATTATATTTTATTAATTATATATTTATTTCTATTAATATATTTAAATTAAATATATTTATATATTTAAATTATATTCAATAATATATATATATATATATATATATATATATATATATATATATATATATATATATATATATATATATATATATATATATATATATATATATATATATATATATATATATATATATATATATATATATATATATATATATATATATATATATATATATATATATATATATATATATATATATATATATATATATATATATATATATATATATATATATTGAAATATATTTCTACTGAAATATTATTGATTATTTTTAAAAATATATAGCTAATTTATATATTTAAATTATTTCAATTAGTTATATATATTTAAATTGTATTTTTATTTAATTATATAACTAATTGAAATAACTTAAATATATAAATATATTTAAAAATATATAATTAATTGAAATAATTTAAATATATAAATATATTAGGTTAAATTATAATTTTGATCCCCCTATTTTGTCTGATTCACGAAATTAGTCCTTTTATTTTGAATTCAAATAGTTTTTGTCCTCCTATTTTAAATTCAAACAATTTTAATCCCCCTCTCATGTTTTTTCATAGAAAATCAATGTGATTTTTTGTTTTTTAACTTATATTTTTATATATAAAATTCAATAATAGATTTATATACGATGATTTGTCATATTTTATAAGTAATTTATCATTTAAAAAAATAAAAACATCGTTAATTTTAAATGCAAAAGTATGATAGAGAGACCAAAAATATTTAAATCTAAAATAGAGGGATTAAAACTATTTAAATTTAAAATAGAGAGATCAATTTCGTGAATCTGAGAGAGGGGCCGAAATTGTAATTAAGTCAATATATTAAATATAAATATATAACTAATTGAAATTGTTTAAATATATTAATTGAAGTAAATAAATAATTAATAATATATAATAAAAAAATTAATAATATTATTTAAACAATTTAAATTAAAATATATATAATAAATAATTTATTAAATATGAAATAAATATTTAACTAATAAATTAATAATATTAAATATAATAAATTATTTATTAACATGTAATAAATATATGTTTTAAAATATTTATATAATAATGTTTTTCAAATAATTATGCAATAGTATTTAATAAAATATTGTAATATATATTTAATTAAAGGAACTAACAAATAGAAGCATTCAGATAGTGGCAGGGTTTCCTCTTGCAGGCCTTTTGTCTTGGGTTTAACACTAATGTGAAGCAAAATTTTCAGTTTTTATATTTAACTTTTTAACCATTAAATATTAAAATAGTAATAAAAATATCACATAGAATGGAATTTAAAAAATAATAATAAAAAAATATTAACAAGTTCATCTATGTCATTAAAAATAATAAAAAAAAAATTTTAAAAAATTGTCACGTCAAAGATTTATGTAAATAGATTCTAAGAGAGATCAAACAATATAATCTTATAAAGTGGTTTTTTAAGACTCAAAAAAGAATGACCTATTAACGCTGTAATTTTTTATTTTATTTGATGACATAAGTATTTGTAAGACGATCTGAAAGAATTTATAAGTTGTTTTTAGGAAATGGAGGCAAAACCAAATGGTTGTGTGGATGAACTGAAGAATGAACTGAATGAAATGCTTAAAGGAGTGGTTCTTCCAGAAATGTCTGAAATCCATGAACAATGCATCTACAAGGTACCACCAGGAATTCGCGAAGCTAATCCACAAGCTTATACACCTCAAATTATTTCCATTGGTCCTTTTCACAGTCCACATGGTTCAACTAGTGACAACATTCTGCACCAAATGGAACAACTCAAACTCAAATATCTTAAAGGATTTCTTAAATAGAACAAACCTATCTCTGGACGATTTTGTTTCCAAATTTCAAGAGTGGGAAAGTAGAATCAGAAGCTGTTATGCAGGGCTTTTTAGCTTTAACAGCAATGATTTCTTAAAAATCATTATAGTTGATGCATGCTTCATAATTGAACATTTTCTTAGGTCGTATGAATACGAAAATTGGAAACAAAATGACCCTATATTATTAAAACCTTCGTTACTCAGAGACATTACACTTGACTTAGTACTCCTTGAAAATCAGCTACCTTTTTTTGTTCTTGAAGATATATACAAATTAGCTGGTATTGAATTTCCTTCATTTCTTACAATTACTATCGACTATTTTGAAGTTTTCAACCTGCAGAAGATAAATTCAGAAAGAGTACAATGTCCAAAACACTTCACAGACCTGTTAAGAACATTTTTGCTGCGGCAATCAGATGATTTTGTACAAGAAGAAAAGGGAAAAGCAATTGTACATGTATACAATGTGAGTCAATTATCAGAAGCAGGGTTAGTATTTGAAGCAAGTGAAAGTAAATGCTTACTTGACTTGGATTTTGATGATAAGGGTGTGTTGAAAATGCCATGTTTTCATGTCCATGATACAACAGAGATGTACATGAGGAATATATTAGCATTTGAAGAATGTCACGTTCCAAATGGTTACATTTCTCAGTATTTGAGTATCTTGGATTTTCTTGTTAATACAGAAAAAGATGTGAGCATCTTGGTTGATAAGAGAATTATTGTGAATTGGATGGGTGATGCTAATGCAGTGGCTGCAATGGTTAACAATCTTTGCAAAAATGTTTCAATGCCTACACTGAATTCAAAATATAAGTCTATATGTGATAGGTTAAATGGTTTCTATGAAAACCCTAGAAATAAGTATAAAGCTATATTTATACACGAGTACTTCAGCACTCCTTGGAAAATAGCATCAACTGTAATATGTATTAGTAATATTTTTGCAAATTGCAATGTGTGGGTAATTTTCGTAATAGTTTCTTGCACAGGAGAATTAAAAACTATATTAATTATGGGATTGGATCCTCTCCTCCTATTAGTTTTCTCCAATTATCTCTTTCACAAATTTGTCTTTATCTCTAGCATTCTCTCTTTTCTTTTTTATATATATTTTTTATTAATCCTTTTTATTGTTACACTTGTTTTGGTTGAAGCAGAAAGACTTTTGTTGGATTTAGTTTCTATGATTTAACATTTTCAAAATATATTTCTTGTTGTTTTTGGTAAAACATCTCAATGCATGAGTGAAAGTTTTCCAACATTTAATAGTCACACCACAACGTACAGTCGGGTTCCTTTTTAAGGATTTTTTTAAAAGATAACTAGTTAACATGACTAAAATTTATTTGATATAATATATATAAATTTAAATTTTAAAATGAGTTATTTAATTGTAAAATAAATAATAATTATATAAATTTAATTGTATTAAATAATCGTATAAAATAAGAGAAAAAACACGTAAAATAGAGAAAGAAAAAAAAAATTTGACATTTGAAAATAAGAATTTTGTTTAACAAATAAAGACAATTGTTATTAAAATTAAAAAATATTGTTTTTTTTAATAGGCAATGAAAGGAGTATAAAGGATATTTCACCCGAAAACAAGACAGAAAACCCCTACATCCTAAAACAAATGATAGGTAAGATATTCCAAGTATGAAAATTATAATGTTTACAAGTTTATAGTAGGAGGCTAACCACTTCCAAGCATTAAGAACAATCTCCGACATACACTCATCAAAGCTAAAGGACCCACTATTAAAGATGATTGCATTGCGCTTCAACCAAAGGCTCCAAATCGTTGCTAACCATATGACTGTAACGATTGACATCTTAGCTAAACTCTTCACCTTATCACAATAAGAAAAGAACCCTTCAAATTCCACCAATGTTAGCTCCTCTACGGATCTTATCCACTTATAAACTTTCCTCCAAATACTTGTCGTAATCGTGCATAGCCCAAAAGATGCGGAATAGTTTCCTCCTCCAACAAACAAAACACATAAGTTAAATCTCTACTATCCGCTAAAATTCCCCTCTTGTACAATTGGTCCTTAGTAGGTATTCTATTAAGAATTAATCTCCATCCAAAAAAATGAAATTTCGACGAAACTTTTACCTTCCAAAGATGCTTAATAGCGGTAACGACATCCGCATTGAGAGATGGGTCTGGCAGTTTCTCACTAAACAATGCAAAGCAGGATTTAACGGTGAAGCTCACATCTAAATCTCTCTTCCACACGAAGATGTCCGATTTGTTCTCCTGTCGAACAACATGTTGAACTGTGTCTACAAAATCCTGCCAGAGGGCTGCCGAAATGATGTTGGTGTTATGCACCACCTCAGTAAGACACTAATGCCAACCAAAATCAGTCTTCCTTCCCGCGGCTTCCACACTCACGCGATCATCAACTACAAGAGAAAAAATTATGAGAAAAGCTTCCATCATTGTTTGGTTACCATTCCAGCAAGAGTACCAAAAAGGAATTTTCAACCCGTTGCCCATAATCAATTTACCGCCCCTGCAAAATTATTCTCCGACAAGTTAACATAATTATTAGATAACAAAAGGTCCCTCCACCAAATTGAATCCCTATTGTTCACAACACTTTTTTCACCTATGAGGACTTTTAACTCCGAATTCCCATATATAAATTTGAGAATTCTACTCCAAACCACTTCCCTTTCTTTCAAAATCCTCCATTTCCATTTGTTTAATAATGCTACATTCAAAATATCCACGTTTTTACTCCGAGGCCTCCTTCCTCACAAGGTTTGCAAATGATATCCCAACACACTCAATGAATCGACCTTTTATGCTTGCATCCGCTCCAAAGAAAGTTGCATTGAGTACTACAAATCTCATTTAGAACTTTTGAAGGCACTTTACAGAAGGACAAAGAGTAAATTGGAATAGCATTAAGTACTGATTTGATCAATACCCCTCGACCCACTATATTGAGGTGTTTTTCTCTCTACATGGACAACCTCCTCTTCAATAGGATTATTAGATCCCTCCATATAGATAATTTCCTAGGACTATCACCCACTTTAACACCAAGAAATTTGAAAGGGAGGCTATCTACTTTGCAAGAGAGAAAGGTCGAAGTCGCATTTAAAAACCACTCTCCCACATTAACTCCATATATCTTGTTTTTATAGAAGTTAATATTCAATTCCGACATCATTTCGAAGCCCCTAAGGATAGCTTTCATACTCCAAAGATTCTTACTATCACCCTCCACCATAGTAATTGTATCATCCGCAAATTGGAGCATGTACACTTCCTCCACTTCATTAATCTTGAACCCCCTAAAATAACCAATCTCAATGGCCTTTCTCATAAGACCCGTTAAAACCTCCATAACCAACACAAACAAGAAGGGTGAGACCGGGTCACATTGACGAAGACCTTTCTCCACCTTAAAATCCTTTGTTGTACTACCATTGATAATAACAGACATATTACTAGTAAACATACACCCTTCCATCCATATAATCCATATTTCGCTATACCCCATCTGAATTAAGACACACCTCAAGAAATTCTAACTTACACAATCGTAGGATTTTTCAAAATCCACTTTCAATATGACACAACTCATTTTTTCTCTTTTAGATAAATCTAACACCTCATTAACCACAAGAACTCCATCCGCAATATTTCTACCCAGGACAAAAGTCGATTGGTTAATTGACACCAACTTACCAATGAAACTTCTTAACCTAGCCACCAAAATATTTGCTAGTATCTTGTATAAACTTCCCACAAGGCATATAGACCTATATTAGACCAATGATTGGGGATTTTTAATTTTTGGGACGAGAGTAATGAAAGACAAAGTACAAGTTTTTGTAAGCTTAGCTCTATCATGAAAATCCTACACAAATCTAATAATATCCTCCCGGTTTTGTTGAAAATATTCAAGATAATAACCATCCAGTTCGGCACTTTTATTACCATCACATGACCAAACCGCTTCCTTCACTTCCTCCTCCATAAAAGATCTCTCAATCCTTACACTATCATTCTCACTCAAGCTATTGAACACAATACCTTCTGGTTTAGCCCTTCTTGAATAGTCTTCTATAAAAAACCTTTCAAAGTGATTCTTGACCACCTCATTAATATCTTCCACACCTTCCACCCTACCATTCTCCCCATCCAATAAAGTGATATCATTCCTTCTATACCTCTCCTTCAAGTAATTATGGAAAAATGAATGTTCTTGTCTCCATCCTTCAACCAAAGTTGCCTAGATTTCAACCTCGGCATACTTTTTTTCAAATTTAACAAATTCCACACTCACTAGTCACATTCCTCCTATAATTGACTAAGACCTCTATGTCTCCACCATGGTTTTCCACCAATAAATTATCCAAATCATTTAGATTTTCCACCTCTTCACTCACCTTCAAATCAATTCAACCAAACACTTCACGGTTCCATTCTTTAAGATGATGCTTCAAGCACTTGAGCTTCTCGTACAATATGAAGTCTCCCCTGCCTTCCACCTTCAACTTTTCCCATTCTTATTTAATAAAGGCCTTGAAATATTCATGTTTATACCAAGCGTTATTGAACCTAAAAGGCTTAGCACCCCAATCAATCTTCCTGGAATTGAGCCAAATAGAGGAATGGTTTGAGATATCTCTACTCCCACTATTTGATCAACCACTCCCCACTCTTCGATCAACTTCCTAGAAACCAAAAATATATCAATTCTACTCATAGCCTTGTCGTTTCCTTTGAACCAAGTAAATATACCTCCAACACAAGGAATGTCTACTAGACCTATTTCCTCAATAAAACCTTTAAACTCCAAATCTCTTTTATTATGATGACCCCATTCACCTAATATACAAACAACTTCATTAAAATTACCTCTTAGACACCATTTTTCATTCACAATTTTTAGCTTCCTTTCAACCAACCCGCTGTTTCCAGTGATTTCTGGTAAACAACCGCTAGTCTTCCAAACTATCGAATAATCTTTATTAACGCTACTCAATCTCTCTGGTAACTCACAGGATCGACTAGATTGATCCTAGGACTCCTTGGATATTAAAGTTACTCTCACAATCGAACAATTATTCATGGTTGCTATTGTACAAGTGTTTGGTTTATTTCGATCCTTCTCTCTAAGAGTTTAAAAATGTGGTCAAATTGTACATGAAAACTAAATTATACGAATAAATGCTAATTGTAATGCTGATTGAAGAGACATATAAAACTGTATGAAAAATGAAGTAAATGGTTTCGATTTGCAAAACATTTAACATAAAAGGTTTCTGGAATGTAGAAGTTTAAAATGTGAAGAAAGCGTTTAATGCAATTTTAAGTAAAAGGATGCGTTTGAAAAACAATACTTGGAAGTAAAGGTATTGAAAGCGTAACAGTTCTCTGAAATATAAAGTGCTCGAAATATAAAGAAAGCAATAAAGAGTAAAACTTTTGAGGAAAAGACTTTGAAATGAAAAGACGATAAATAAAGAAACTTGTAAATGTTATTCGATAAAAAGAAAAGAGGAAAGTACTGGAAATGGTAAAAAGGCTTTCATTAAGTTAGAAATACATGGTGCTATCATACATACATCTCTCTTGCATTCGTTTCCCTTGCCATGTGGTAGTTTGAATGTTATTGAGTATTTTGTATAACAGATATGACACACTGAAATCCTAATACTAAGACTTCTATTTATACTAATTCGACCCTAACGGTCTCGCTATAGGATCATGCCACGTTTCGAACATGCAAGACAATGCTTCTTTCATCTTTCCACGTGTCCCCAAATGCTCCGACACATAACTTTCAAACTTTGAAAGTCCCGCTTCCATTTAAATTTTAAATGCTTTGGTGTTTCTCCGTTTCGAACGCTCTTCCCAAACCTAGCCTCGCTGTTGTTTCGAGACCCCTTTGGATATTTTCCCATGATCACCGTTCGAAGCTTCAAGCTTTGACACACTCATTCGAAACACTGCTTCTGCAACTTC